ATATCTACTTGCTGAAAACGAATCCCGGCGTAGCCAACCTCAACGTGATAGGCACGTTAGCTTAATCGAATAAAATAATTCGAAGTGGTCTGTATTCTGTCGAAACTGCCAGACGCGGATCGCTATTTCGATCTTTTTGGATCTCATCAGCGCGTCGCAGGCAACTCCGACAGAACACAGACCAACTTTTACCTGCTGTTTTAACAGTGCGTTTTAGAAAGGATAACTGTTTGTGTATAGTGGCAGTACCAATATGATTGGCACGTGGAAATACCACCATGAGAGATAACGAAAGTTGGTACCATGTGAGATAGTGAATATCACAAGAGTAATGGTAATACTACCATATCTAAAGAGTAGACGGCAGAACTGTCATGTCTAAAGAGAAGATATGACGGTAGTATTTGAGATAATGAATACACTTATATCCCAGGATGGACGTTTTAGAGATCTTGGTGACTTTCGGGAGAGCAGGACACAGGACAACCGAAGAACCGAAAAAATTTATGAGATTAAGAAGGTTTCGTATTGGTTATAATTGAAGTAGAAATTTTCACAATTTATCATAGATACATCGACCTTTCATTTGATAACATTCACGGCTATTTACACACGATACTTGCGTAATGTTCGTCTGCAAGAACTAGAACATTTTCTCCGAAGTATTTCACAAAAGTATATGTATCCACGTGACGTACGTTTTAGTTACACATGCATGAACTGTGCCACCAATCTTGCTGCACTCTTTTAGACATAGAATATACTAAGACCATTAATTTGATGTACGTACACAAACACTACTTCCAAATTGTCATTCGATTATTGCGTTTTATTTTCGTTCTAAAATTGTAGAATTTTTCTTGAAAATGATCCACTTTCCCTTTTACTTGGAATACTTGACGTCAGTTATGGTTTGTTCATTTTAATACTTCTTCGTACAGTGGGTATACATTGTTATACTTTGTTACGACAAAAAATCCTCGATTCTTTACAATAGAAAATATTCAAAGTATCACAGTAGTTTGGATTATATACCATAAATTCCGAAGTTCATATTATTTGTAATAGTGAATTAGATAGAACAGTGTCATTAAGAACATTGCACCTTTGTTGTTTGATATTTAAGTATGAGATATACCTACTAAGATTTCCGAAGGAATTTCTGCAAACATTCCAACAAGCGGAAGCTGGGACTAGAAACATGGCCATAATTGACATTTTGACCAAATATTTCACCCCACGTGCCCTCAATATAATGCATAGCAAGTTCCGAAAAATTTTCTATCTATATTTAGTGGCAATAATTAAAAACATCCGTTTCTAGAGAATAGGGGAAAATTATTCGTTTCGGATCGACATAGATTTATTTTAGGCATACCTGCTGAATACCATCATTAGGCATTACTTCGCATCTCATAGGTCGTAGGGTGATACATCTATCTAGCCTTAAATTTTCTTCGAAAAGGAACTTTGCAAATCCGTCTTCTGATTCTTGAGATTAGCTTGAGCGTCAATACAAATATATTAAACTTATTTCTAAGAAGTAAAGGTGACTTACGATTTTCGTTTTTCATTCAGTACCTACTGGCTTATTTGAACACAAAGGATTAGTGAAACTTCACGTAAAAAAGTACCTAAATTCTTTTAAGAAAATTTTTGACAGATAAACAATACTTTAGAAAAGCATGATGTGGCGAATCTAACATTTATTTTATTCAAGGTTTACTCTTTGCATTTAATTGTTTTTAATTATGTTTGTTGTTAAATTTGGTTAGTTTTCTACTATTTGGTTTACTTGTTAAAAGTTCCCTTTGCTCCTTTAGAGCAGTTCATCATTTTTTTAGGTTTGGAATTGATATTTTGAAGATGCTTTTTGCAATCGAAACTGGAACGTTTGTTTTGCTTTTGTATTTCTTAAAACTTTTGCTTTTTTATTTTTTCAATGTTTTCACCTTTCGCGCCAGGTATTTGTAAATATTTACAATTTCACGTTTTCCTGCTGAAAAAACACTGTATACACGGAATGATTTAATAGTTAATTAAACCAGAATTCAATTAAAAGTGTTACGTAGATCTTGTAGTGTTCGCGCTGCCCGACATGCCAATCCAATTAAAGCGTACAACTATAAACAAGGGCATGTGAAAGGACGGCGTTTGTTCTTATGCAGGATCAATGGCTAATTTACCACTAACAATTTCAAGCCTTGTGATCGAGAAAATTTTCTAAAAACATTGATGCGTTTGATGTCTGCCAGCGGCGATACCCCATCGACTATTCATGTCGTCGGAATCACTGTTACATGATTAATTACTGTCTAAAACGTTAATTTATGTACTGGTCACACCCGTTCACAACCAAAACAAATTTATAAAATAATACCAACAAATTTAACAATAAAACTGGTCAAGTGCTAGTCAGTTAAAAAGTATATAGTAAAAAAAATTCAATCTTGATTGAAAAGTACTTTCTAAAAATTCGTTAACATTCAGCTTCTTATGATCAGTTAGAGCCTTTAATTGACGATCACACCTCGAGTGCCGAAACGCGTTTTAAATTCTTAAAATATTTTCATATGAGTTTTGGTTTTTACAGTTAGTTTCTTATTCTCCGCTGCAACACAGTTTCGACTGTTATGGTAGTAGGTGCATATGTTACCGGAAATATATGAAATCTACGAATTGTATAGAATTCCTAGGAAATGTATACAATTCCGAAGCTATTTAGGATATGTATAAAATATTGTTTCAAAAATTTTTAATACATACATATCCTGGGAAATGTATACATTTCTTAGGAACTATATGAAGTTCCGATGTTGTACTAGGAAATGTAAATAATTATTGTAAATGTATACATTTCCTAGGATATATGTATATTAAAAAATCTTTAAAACAATATTTTTTACTACTTTTTCTAAATATATAGCCTCGGAATTGTATACAATTCCTAGATTTCATACATTTCCGGTAACATACAAGTAATAGTTTTAATAAACAGAAGTCAAACTTCGGTAAAATCATTTTGGAATAGTAGGTTATTTCATAAATTTATTATACATCAGCTGCCTATAAAGGGGGATGTTCAACAAATTTTATAGTTCGTTGGTTACGAGGTGTGGCAATTAAGTTTCGGGAATTTGTTAATAAAAAACAAACAAATCAAGTTTTCTACAAAATGTTATTGTCGATCTTCACAATAGTCTCCGTTTAACTCTACACAAAGATTCCAATGTTGCTTCCACTCTTGATAATCCTTTGAAGTTAATCCGTTCAGCACAACGGTTACAGCTTTTTTGAGCGCCTTTATGCCACCATGATGCCTTGAGGATGTCCAAGTCGCAACTGAAGGCAATATTGATCATTTTTTTCGATATCCTTTATCGTTAATATGTTCCCGGTGACCAAACAGTGACTAGACAGATCTATGTTAGCGTCCTGAAGCGGATGCGGGCACGCTTTTTCTGAGTGCGTTGAGAACGACTGGACCTTACACCACGACAACGCGTCGGCCCATTCCTCGTTCATTGTGGAAATGTTTTTGGCAAAAATGAGCATTCCAACGATTCCGCATCCACCCTATAGTCCCGATATTACTCCCTACGACTTTTTCTCATTTCAGTTGCTATGTGGAAGCATTTTTGTTCATGTATTCAGCCTAGAGATTTGTATTATACATTCGTGTTGCGTTTATGGAATTTATTCGATTTTAATACCGTCATTTCTCCCTACTTTAACCGAAATGTAGGGGATGCTTAATATCAATCAGAAAGTTATTGAATACACCGATTTTTCGATATGACATTTGGATTTTGCGTCGAATAACACTGATATCCATCACGCATAATACAACTTCAATTACTCATATTTCAGAAGCCATACATATGCTCATCTCTCAAATTTTGTTTTCAGCATACTTTCATCATTTATCATTACTAATAATTTAAAAGAAAATTTGAGGTTGAGAAAATAGACAGTTTTTACGGTCACTTTCAGAAGTCTAATGGATTATGGTTCTTAGTCTTATTATTAGTAAGAAAAATTTCGTATCCAAATGTTTGTAAGGAATATTCGGAAATTGCAAATTTTTTGTCAAATTTCGAATCAAATAATATTTCGAATATTATTCGCACACCCCTAATGTACATATACAACTTATTTCGCAAAGTAGTAGCCACTTGTATAGACATTTTCCACGAATTAGTCAAGTGTCTGCCGTCGTTTAAAGTCGCGATTTAAGCCAATATATCCGTCACTTTTAGTTTCTGCTGCCACATTGCATTTGTTTTTCTCTTAAGATCGCGGTGTCGTGTCTCATTTTCGTAACCATTTAGAATGAGAAACGCAGATGGACGGCTGCATCATTCATGTTCTTTAACCGACGCGATCGCTTCTTAGAGAAGGACCCGTCACAGTACGTCCCACATGTCGTTANGGTGGTATTTTTGTGAATGGTCGTCCACTACCAAACGCTGTCAGACTTCGAATAGTTGAACTATCCCAGGTGGGTATCCGGCCGTGCGATATATCCAGACAACTCCGGGTGTCTCACGGATGTGTCTCAAAAATCCTCGCTCGATACCACGAAACAGGGTCAATTCTTCCTGGCGCCATCGGTGGATCTAAACCCCGCGTTACAACCCCCAAGGTGGTAGCCTTTATCAAGGAATTAAAACAAAAAGATCCAGGCATTTTTGCCTGGGAAATACGAGACAAGCTCCTAGCAGAAGCAGTTTGCGACAAATACAACGTTCCGTCCGTGAGTTCCATTAGCAGAATTCTTAGGAACAAGATTGGGACATTGTCACATCACTCTTATCACCCCTATTACAAAAGCGTCTACTCGTCATACAATTATCCGAATCAGAAAGTTCAAAGGTCGCAAACACAAAGGCCGAGTCCTGTTTCGTGGCCTAGCTCTCACAGTGTAACCGATATTTTGGCCGGAGTCCACGCGGCTGCATTTAAGCCTCCACCATCATCGCCGTCGATGGCTCTTCCTTCAGGACCTTCTCCTACAGGATCCGACCACAGCGCTCAAAATTATAACTATTACATGTACCTTCAATCGAGTAACACGGAAACGATGTACATGATGAATTCGGGAATGAGTCACCCACCACTCCATGCACCCGGATCTCATTTTTGAGTGAAAATGCGTTCGGTGGAATTCGGCAAGTTATAGACTTTTTGACGTAACGCATAAGTGCTTCTGTGATACGCGCACAATACAGTGACTTTAATTATAAAACTATAGAATCTTACTTTTAATAAAAAAAAACGTTGATGGTAAGTGACTTAAGAGCATCAAAGTGGGTTCACGTAACATAAATTAAGCCAAAAAACAGTGTATCCCGCAGAATGAAGCAAAAATACTTATATTTTAACATATGTGTAAATCCCTACGTTAACACCAAATTTATTATTTAATTGTTAAAGTAGTTATCGCTACTGGTCACCCAAAACCCCCTGGAATAATTAGGAGTGCGGAGGTAAATAGACACATTTAAGCTTACCCAGTGGAAATTTATAATTGACTTTATCAATAAAACGCAATGTTAGTTTCAATAAAATTATTTTAACAACATTTAACTATTGCTTCGCATTACTAAGGCTTTATGAGGAGTATAATAACATTAAAATGCGAAACGGAAAGGTCTCAGGAGATCCGCGAGATACGGTGGTTTTTGTCCTAATAAAAGTATACAAAATTCTGGGAAAAGCAACCATTCTGTATTTAACTGTAACAATAGCATATTTTTCATGACCAAACCAGTAATAAAAGGTCAAACCCTAACGGTTCATTTTACGAAAGGGACAAGTATCGCTATTTTTGTGAAAGAATGATACCTAGAGATGATGAGATTCGGACTTTCGATCTTACGCAGCATTCAAGTACTAGTAACGCAAATTTTGAAGCCTTTTAACCCTCCCTCCCCCCTTGTAACGCGCCGTAACGTTTTTCTGTACCCCCTCCCCCTCTCTAAACGTTACGTAACACTCAAGTGACCATTTTTACCTAAAAGTCGCAAAAGTTATGTTGCGCAAATCATGTAACATGATTTATATGTTCTGCAAACTTTTCTTTATTTTTTATTTTTTCATTAGCCGTTTTCCAAATTTCGTTGACATTTTTTTTGACACAGTTGGCAAATCTGCATGAGAGCCTTTATAGGCAAGAATAGCTGATGATATCTCCCTCTTTTAAAGACATTACAGTATGAACAGTACGAACTCACTTTAATAACACCGATTACAGCAATGTGCTTCTGCATAAACTCTAACGAATGCTGACAACGAAAAAAACATTAAATGACGTACAATACAATCGAGGGATTCCCCGTAAAACGTAAACGAAACGGGTTGCCAATTTGGAAGTTTTAATTCCCTAATTCTTTATTTAAAAAAAGAAACAATGTTACGTAACGTGTTGTAAGAACGTCCCCCTCCCGCTCCTGTAATGCATCGTAACGTTTTACGAGGCCCCCTCCCCCAAATTGCGTTACGTAATACTTGAACGCCCTCTCACGTTGATATAATAAATTGGGCACAATTATTCCTAGTTCATCCTATTTTGTCGGTTGTTTTGTACGGTTATTTATTATCATTATTATATGCGCGTATTCCAAGCAGTGTGACTCATTTATTTATTTTGACATTTGCCGCAATTTTTAAATATAGCTATTGAATGTCATTAGTAACAGATGCGTTTCAGTCAAAGCTTTTTAAAAAAGCACGTAAAGATATGGTAAATCAGCATAAATCACCACATTTCGTGTCGAACTATTTTGCATGACGAGAAATGGATAATGGAAATGGTTTATTTGATCGATACATTCAATAAACCAACGTAATCGGCAGGTTCTTAAAGTGAATAACCACAACTAAGTTTAAAAAGAGATAATCTCTTCTCTAACGATAAAAAACAATTGTGTGGTTTTATGAAACAACGATGCAAGTGAAACTTTTTGAATTGTAGGCATTTAACTGTAAATTTTGGGAAAATTATTCCATTAAGGGTATTAAAATTAAAATCACGTTCTTAATCTTATCTTAATAATTGGAAAATGGGAATGATAATGGGAAATCAATAGTAGACAAGATATCTAACAATAAATTTTAATTTCAATCTGAGAGTACGGAATACATAATAAATACAATCATTCTGATAATAGACGCATGTTAAAAACTAACAACAATATTTATTTAAACCATTGAATCATTTCGAACTTCAGTTATTCTATCAATAACTTCATCTTCGCTTTGAGTTTCACAGTCTATAGATATAATTGTCATGCACTTGCACGAATGAGTGAGAATATAAATGCTGCACGGTTAGCTCAAGCGAGTCGCCATATCGGTCTTAGATGCTCTGCAGAGCGCCTTTCAGTTTTACCCCTACTCCGCGGCTGGCTGTAATGCGACATGCGATAGATGGACAAAAAAATTTGAGGCGATGTAATAAAAGTTTCACTTAAAAAATTAATTTGGCTTCTGAGAATTTGGTCGATTTCATCCTCCCTAAAGCAGAAATTCGAATAGAATGATTTAAATTTGAATGACGTTTGAATTGAACTTACAATTAAAGACGAATACTCTGCAGTCATTGCGAAGGTTACCACGGTTCCTATTTCGGTTTGAATCGACTTACAGATTAGCTTTTCTCTTTACGTCTACAATAAAAACAAATTCAGAATTTGATTGGATGCCGTTCCGAATATTTGAATTCAATTGACGAACATTATACCTAATTTTAATGTTATTGTTAGTAAAAATGTACATTTTAAACATATACGTACAATAGTACAAAATTTTTCAGTTCAGTATGTACACAATAAGGTACCAGCGGTCTTATTGTTAAACATAAAACTCTAATCAGTTTACTTTTTTATCGAGATGGGTTTTGCTCTTCGGTAGTAGATACATATCTTGTTTTTGTAAGATCGGTTCATATTTTTTCAAGACAAATAGATTGAGTAATAGTGAGGAATTTATATCTAATTGATTATTTAATAGTAAATTGGTGTTCTTATATTTATTAATTTGCAGAGTGAGAATTTATAATTTTAAAATTCATCTTCAGAATTAAGATAATCAAGTGTTTCACATAATAAGAATGTATTTTTTACAATCAAATTAACAGAAAAGATAAAAAAATCTTTTGATTGTAAACATCTTGAGGAAGCCTTAGTAATGCGAAAAAATTATTGTTAAATGTTCCCAATTTAGTTTTACGGAAATTAACATTGATTTTATTTATAAACTGAAGAATAATCTTCACAGTCGCATCTCTTTGTAGGTAATAGTAAAATATTAACTTTAAATCTAGAGCAGATATAAGAAAATGAAAAATACAAATAAACCTTTTCTAATTCAGCAAGTTTTGCTATAATAGGAATAGCAATCAGTACTATCTTGAATAAGTTTTTTATCTCTCTGTTTCTACGAGGGGCTGTCCATAAATGACGCCAAAAAAAATTCATCAATTTTCAAAATTTAAAACAACCCTTAACTCTTCCCGTGTAACAGGACCGGCCTGACATCCTGACCTGATTTATTTCCAATGTTAATTAATTCTCTTTTCAATAAATAATTACATTTTTAATCAAAATTAACTTCGGTTATATAGGTTAACAAAATTGTTCTGGCATTGTCACTATTGCCAACATTCCAATTGTAAAATCATCTCGAAGCGCAAACATGACTCCTAGCTCCCCCCACGTAACAGCACCGTAACCTGTTTCCCTGTTCTCCCAATTTCCGTTACGTAATTTATGGGCATCCCCTAATGATGCTGTGAAGATGTTTCTATCTCTACTAACACTTCTACCTGATTTTCTTTTTCTATTATTAATTGAAAAAAATAATAAATAAATGTACGAAATAATTATACCATCTCTATAAACAACTACTGACCCACGATGAACATTTCTTTTGTACAAAAAACTAATAAATGCTACACAAAAATTGAGTATTGCCATAAAATAAAACGCTATAAATTTTATTAATCCTGCCATAAAAAAATAATAAAATGCATTTAATGAAATTATAATGCAATAAATTGTAGTTCAGTGTTTCAGTTTTGTTTTATACTAATCTTTTTTTTTTTGACGGAAAATGTTTTATATACATTGCAAAAATTTAGATCACTTTCGCAATTAGATTTTTTTACCAGAAAAAACAACTTTATAGCAAAATATACTTCAGTCATGGCATTGTATTATCTCACCTCTATTCATGGCAGTTGATTGTTATGTAACATATATTCTTTTTATCTTTTTCAGTTTAATCCCTTCATTTATCGAGCACCTGATAATACGAGACACATAAGTATAATATGTTTATATTTTGAAGATTTACAATGCATTCTACATATATACATACTAACATACATAGTTATATACATCCCTGTGCCTTCAAATCGGAAACAATTATAATATAGTGTAAAAATAAGCATTAAAATTGTAACTGTATGGTGCTATTTAAAATTTTAGTGCCTTAAGATGAACGAGCAATATTTATTTTATTTTAGTAGATAATGAACGCTTATGAATAATATAAGAAGTACAACAATTAGGTAGGTTCAATAAGAATTTATGAACTAAGCAGTAACAAAATGATTTGTAAGGGTGAATAATAAAATTACTTGTTAAAAAGCAGCAGTAGTACTTTTTTTTTATTCCTGGACCATAGTCAAACTGGGTAATCAGGACAGGATAAAACATTTCGCATTATCTGCTAAAATATTTTGTTAACACTTTTGTCCTTTTCTTTAGAGTTGTTATTACATAAAACGGTTATTTCTAATAGATACTTATTTATTGAATTGAAACTTCTGTCTCGAAAAAGCGTTACGGCCGCTTGGAGGGGGTAAACGGTTTATCGTTGAGAGGCGACAGCGGCGGAGTGGGAGAAAGGCTAGCGGTGGCGTAGAGAGGGCAATGGCTGTATTAGCCGGGCGAAGAGCGAGGAGTCCGCTAGAGTCCCGGCGGCGTGTCCTGTGCTCTGTTGTTGTTTTCTTACCTCTGCTCTTCACGTGGCTGGGCATCATTGCCTCTATTTGCATATATCTCTATAAAAGCCAAATCATAATTTGCAGCAATCTTGTGAAAGCGAATTTTGTGTTGGGACACATAGTAGAAGTAAAACAAGTACATTAACAATTTGCCCATAAAACTTGAAGTAAAAATTTTGTTGCGATTCGTTTTTCCACTTGTCCGTTGAAGTTTCACTTCTACTATATGTCCCAGCACACATTTCGTTTTCATCTGTAATACTTAAAAAGGGTTAATTCTTGATCCTGATGAATCATTGTTTGTGTCGAGTTGGATGCAATATCAATATGAGACCTTTTAATAATTTATTACAAATGATGTCTCACTAAAACTATTTAGTAAGGCAACTGTACTAAAGCTATCTGAAATTGCTACATTCATATTTTTCGTTATTTCCATTTACTAGCGGAGTACTCTACTCTTAAAGTACGCAGTGCGAGTTAGGACATACACAAAATTTCCCCGGGACTAACAGTTCCCAAATGGTGTTCCCTAAAACCTTGGTGTTCCGTGGAAGGGCGCAGAGTTTCCGCGATATACGACGTTTCTTGTCTTAATAAAGGTATAAAAAATTCTACGAACAGCAATCATTTTGTATCTAATCATAACAACAGCATATTTTTCATGATGACCGAATCAGTAATGAAAGATCGAACCCTAACGGCTCATTTTATGATGGAGACTAGGACCGCTGTTTTTATGATTCGAACTTACGATTTTACGTAAAGTTACAATGAATTGGATACAATTGTTCATAAGTTCATTCCTATTTCCTGGGTTATTTTGTTTTATCAGTTATTATCATTTGTATATGCGTATGGACCCTGTCTGATCACATAATAAAGCAGACTGAATCATTTATTTATTTAGATATTTACCGCAACTTTTAAAGGCAGCTATTGTTATCAAAAAAGTTATTAATAACAGATGTATTGCAGTCAAGGTCTTTTAAAAAAGGATGAGAAAATATGATAAGTCAGCATCAATCACTATTTCTATACAGGGAAGTGAGATGGTTTTCGAGAGGAAAAGTTGGGCAACCAATTTTTACGTCAATCATGTCGAACTAGATAATGGCTTTTTGGCTTTATGGCTCAAATATTCGATAAATATAACGTAATCAGCAGGCCCTTATAGCGAAGAACCACAACTACATCTATTGTAAGAGCCAAATATTATACCTTTTCCAACGATAAAAAGCAAATTTTCTTCTGGTTTGAATCTGTTGAACAAAAAATTTTTTCCTCTTCTAAATAAATTTCTCCACAGGAGTTACAGGACAGTCACCATGGTGAGTACAGAATCCATTCGCAAATTAGACTAAACCATCAATGTTAACAACACATGTGGGAGTATGAAAACTTGATAGATATTAAGAATTCATCCTCTTTAAAACAAAATTCGAATCAGCTGATTCAAATTTGAATAATTTTTGGGTTGAATTAAAGATGAATACACTGCAGTCGTTGACAAAGTTATCACGATTCCTGTTTCGGTTTACAGACGAGGTTTTCAGCTTACGCCTACACTAAAAACAAATTCAGAACTAGTCTGGATACCACTGCGGATATTCGATTCAATTGTCAAATTAAAATCAAATTTTAACACTGTTAAAAACTAAAATGTGTACATTAAATATATACTTGCAATAAAGGTTTTGATATCAGAGGTCTTAGGCACAGAACTATTATCAGTTTACCTTTTCGTCGAGATGGGGTTCCTCTAAAAGTCGGAAAGGGTTCTGCAGCAAAAGAAAATTGGGAATCGCTGTACTAGACTACGACCCTGCTTCTTTTTATAGCTTCTTTACACTACATTTTAATAACAATAACACAATAAAGGCGTAAAGGACAATTAAAAATCTTTATTTGAGTTATCGAGTGTGGCATGAAAAAATAAAACTTGTTTTAATCTAAAATTAAAAACTGGGCAGTGGCAACTAAAAATGCTACTTTAAATAGTTGTTCCGTTATGATTTGGCGTAACTGATGACCACGTCATGTTTACATAATTCTAACAAATTAATTAAAAGGCATATTTAGACAACGCGGTAACTCAAAGATGAAATTAAATTTAAGGTCTGGTTCTATTAATTAGCAGGTCATAAATTAAGACTTCAAAAACGTTGCCAGACACGAATCACTTTCACTACTAATACACGAAAATATAATAAAAGAAAGACAAAAAAGAGATTTATGTCTTCATGAAAGAGCAGGGTCTTTTTCCGTTGTTTCACGTATCTGCATCAGTGGCGGCGCGTAAATATTTATCCTATGTACAAACGATCAAAAAGGAAACAATAACACCACTTGTATGGTGTCGTGAGACACCCAGTAGAAACGAAGTTTTTTATAGTATTCGTCAAATAATATTAGTAAATTTTGGTCGAGGCATTTTGTAAAAAAAGACTGACATATGCATTCAGTAAGCGCTATTTGCTCACAATATTTCAAAACGGTAATTTTAAAACTGCCGGTTGCTACCGAAGCATTTTAATGTATATATATATATTCACCAGAGGGCAGACTAATCGAATCTACCTCAGCTTTTTGTCTCTCTACAAGTAGTAAATAAGAGTGAGAGGGATGCCCACTAACACATTCGATTTTGGACCAGTGTTGCTAGACTTAGCGAAATTTCACTAGGCCTAATGGAATTTAGAACCAACTTAAGGAAAAGCGTATTTTTATTTTATTTATAATATAATTGTTTTTGTGCCAAATGAATTCTTCTTGCTTAAAGGTGACTTTTATTTTGAAAATTTCATACTTGTAAACTTAGCTAAAGAAAAGAAAAGGTCTTCCTTTTTAGGCTATATGATGTTTTCATTGTTTAAATGTCTTTTTTTTTGTTATAAGAATCTCCGGGGAAACATAAGGAAATTTCGTTAAAAACACTAGCGAATAAAAAGAAATTTATTACTAAAAGATTGCTTGTGGACCCAGTAATGGGTTCAGATTTAACTGTGCCAGTCGTATATGACACCTTTTAATGGTTTTAACAACCAAATCCAAAATTTTTCCCGTCTAAAATATGTGCTCCTATTTAAAAAACATATTGGACATTGAAATGAAGGAAACATTACATTCAAGGTCGCGAATTTATTTTCCATTTGAAAGCATACAACTTTGTGTAATTTTCTTTTTGAAATAAATGTAAACCAAGATACTTTAAGATTTTTTTTAATAATTTTTGTATACTTCACTCTTATCTGCCACCCTTTTTGTTCCAACTCAAATAATCACCCTTCGCTAATTCAAAAAAGGCGAGTTCTACGTTTCTGTAAACTCTTTATAACGAAACTCAAAGGACGGACTTTTTTTACCAAGAGAGCTTTTTCCTTATGTGGAGTGACACATTTTTTCGTGCACACAACGCATTTCTTTTACTTTAACAAAAGCATTAATGTATGGGTTTTAGGGTAAACCTACAAATTCAACTAATTTCTACGTTATAGAAAGTTTTACACAATACCGAGAGACGTTGTAAAGAGTTTACAGTGTATATTAAAAATAAATTAGGGTATTTTCACTCTCTGGATATACTCTTGTTGTCAGTGTACTGTTTGCCTGTTTAGGTGTAAAATATAGTACCTATTTATTCAAAGCATTCATATGGGGTTCATTTTTAATTTTTTGGTTTTACGTCTATTTTATCCATCATCTCGTTTTATTCTGTCTTAAAGCAACAGGAGTATAGAAAAAGTTTTTAGCGCCCCCTTCTACTATCTCCAGAAACCAAAAACTTCTAATTTAATTCTAATCTAAGCTATTAATCTACTAGATAGATCGATTTCAATATTGCAGGATCCTTTAGTGTCTCTTGATTTTGGCGTTCCGGGTGGAAGCCTCCTACACACCGCCCCCCTCCCCCTATTATCACAGCCCTCAGTCCACAATAAATAATTAATAATGAAATAACGGATTACAACTACAGGCACAACGAAGAAAATATGAATTAAAAACGTAAGTTAACAAAAAGAAAGACAAAAAGTAACTAACTCTAAATTATGTGACAAAATCAAAAATTGTTCTGATGCCACCACCAGTACCTGATATGCAACAAAAAAATACGAGCCAGAAGCCAATAAGAGGAAAAACCCAACAAGGCATGACTCTGCCTCGAACTATTAAACTGACTAAATCGCTACTGAAGTGAAATTTCTTCAAACACACAAACATACCAAGATAGGGGTTAAAGATCGAAATGGTTTAATGGTATTATTTGTACACTATGCTTCGCACGGGTGCAATACTGATAGTAAATATACTATAGAATGTCTTTATATACAACAATCACAGCTTTTTTTTCATTAGACAATACAAACTGCCCTCCCGGCCGGTACCGCCGCAACCGCTANAAGTCTAATGGATTATGGTTCTTAGTCTTATTATTAGTTAGAAAAATTTCGTATCCAAATGTTTGTAAGGAATATTCGGAAATTGCAAATTTTTTGTCAAATTTCGAATCAAATAATATTTCGAATATTATTCGCACACCCCTAATGTACATATACAACTTATTTCGCAAAGTAGTAGCCACTTGTGTAGACATTTTCCACGAATTAGTCAAGTGTCTGCCGTCGTTTAAAGTCGCGATTTAAG